CATGCATGTGCTGTGTGCTGTGCAGGAGGGGTCAATCCCCGGAGTGGGGGAAATCGGGACACAGCAGGGTGGAGGAGGGGCACAAAAGGATCTCTCTCCTCCCTCCTCCCCTTCCACTCCCGGCAGCAGCAGTGCTGTTTCCTTTCCACTGGAGAGGCTTGGGCTAGGTTGGGTGCCAGCCAGTTTTCTCCATCCTCTTTGGCAGCTGAGCAGCTGCTGCTCTTCCTGCACTCTCAGTGGGGAGGCTTTTTGCTGGTTTCTTTGGTAACTGGACTTTTAGTGTCCGGATTGTTACCTGAGGCATTATGCTGCCTTTGCAGATAACGTACAGAACGTCTTGTACACTTGTGTGTGATTAACTGGCTTTCCTCAACCCCTGTACTTCAGAAACAGCTGAAGCTAGACCTTGGCAGAGAGCTGTTGGTAGCAGGGATAACCAGGGAAATCTCTGTGCTTCCTCTCCGCATTCCCTAGCTTGCCAGCTAAGGAAGGTTTGTTTCACTATGAACAGCGCGTATGTTTTTCCTATAGCTGTGCATTATATGCTGAACATATTACAGCAGAGTATTTACTACAGTCCGCTGCTGCAGCTCTGAAGCCTTTGAAGGACTCCCCCACCCTTTAGGGACCTGCCTTTCCTATAGAGTTGTGTCAGGGGCTCTAGTCTTGCAGTAGTGCAGAGCTGCATCCCCTTCCCTTGTCCACGGCCCTAGAGATGCGGTCAGAAGCCGGGATCCTGCATGTGGGGCAGGTGATCAGGACCCTGCGTTCAGGGACTGGCAGCAGAGCCACTGCACATGAAGTCGGCAGCTGGCCAGCACCCCAGGGCTGAGTGGGGTGAAGGGCTGGAAGCTGAGCAGGGCCTGCAGCTAGAGATAGAGCCCTCAGGGAGCAGCGGACCTTGTGGCCAGGACCCCAGACAAGAAGGGAACAAGGCTGGAATGGCCAAAATCTGGAGGTGCCATAGTGTCCCCCGCATCCCAGTGCCTGTATACAATTGTCCACTGACCCAGTTACAGCTTGATTCCAGTTTATAGTGTAGATGGGTCCAGGGTGGTGATATAAAGCCTGAGATTGTGCAGATCAGGGCTCTCAAACTCCCAGGTCAGTCCTGGATGGAGTGATTACACAATCCAGCCTGGGACTGCTAGTGGGCTGGGAGAGGGGACTTGTCCATTACTGGCCCTCAAGCCCTGCCCCTTCCTGCCATTGCCACGCCCACCCCTGACATGGTGCCCCATCCCCCAAGCATGCAGCTTTGGGGATCACCTGCCCCCTTTCCCCAGTGATTGCCACAGTCACGTGCTCAGGGGATGGGGTTCCATGTGGGGAGAGAGGGTGGGGCGATGGCAGGAAGGGGTGGGGCTTGGGCTCTGTAATGGACAGACCCTCCCAGGCCGGATTGCGGAATCGCGTTGGCCTGGACTACTAGCTCACAGGTCAGGAGTTTGAGACCCCTGGTATAGATGGAACCTCAAGACATTAAGCTAGTTATAGAAGAATGGTTATGGTCTCATCTATGCTACAGATTATAACAACGTTGTAATTAGGGCAGGAGAAAATCTGGTGGAAGTAGGTCTCTTGATATTGCTGTGTTTATATTGCAAACAGCTTTGATATAGAATAAAGGGTTTTGTTGTCTTTGTGAAAGGATCGAATACTTTCCCAACATGTGGGCCCTTTTTAAAGCAAGTCCGTACCTTGACTTTACTGTTAGGTCTGAAAATACATAAGACTGTGCATTTTGCTATTCAGTAAGGGTACGTCTACACAGAGGTGTGATTTTGGAATAACTGATGTTATTCCGAAATAACATAGGACATGTCCATGCTACAAGCCTTTATTTTGAAATGATGTTGAGCTGGAGGACTTCTTACTCCAACTCCTGCAACCTTCATTTCAGGAGGAGTAAGGGAAGTTGAAGGAAGAGTGTTCTCCCTTCGACCTCCTGCTGTGTAGACAGCGCCAAAAGCCGAATTAAGCTATTTTGGCTTCAGCTACACAATTGACGTAGCTGATGTTGTGTAGCTTAATTCAACGTTAGCTCTGCTGTGTGGACACACCCAGCCCCTGCTGAAAGCTATAGGAGTTGTGAGCAAACTGACCCTCTACTCCTTTATCTGTGGTTTTCCAACAACAGGTTGTTATTCACAGGGAATTAATCTAGAGAATCTAAACTCATTTTTTCCCAACCCTTTTAAAATCGTGAATATGCAAAACTGTTTTGGGAGGGGGGGATTGATGTCAGTGCCATTGCAGGTTTTAGGATTTGGTGTGAGAAGTCTGAATGACATTAGAATTGAGGCTGCTCACCAGACCGAAATCAGTCTGGGACTCTTAGAGGAATCCATTATAAGATGTGTAGCCTATTTTCACCTGCTGTCATGATATTGTATTAATGGATGATGATGTAACACCTTGAGTTAATGACATCATAGTATAGGAGGGGGATACTCTGTCATGACTCCCGATATACCACTCTTCCCCTTTTCTTCACCCTGTCAGAGGGCTTATTGGGCCACTACCGGTTGAAACAATGTATCTGCCATGACCACACACAAATCTGAATGCTGGCAGTGCATAGAAACTAAAAAAAAAATACTTTTTAAAATCAGTGTGTAGCAAATCCTACTAAATCATTTTATTCCACCACTGCATTTGTAGCTCATGACAAAACCTTCACCTTTTTTGTTTTGCGGTGAAAAGTTTCAAGCAGCAGGAAGCAGATTAATGTGCTGACAGGAAATCCAGCATTACTTCTGCTCATCCTTTTCCTCTTTTTCTTTGCAAACCCACATGTCCTGCATTGTGCAGCAAAGGAAGGGCCATACAAGGAGAACTGTTGTTTCCATAGTAGCAGATGGGCAACTGCATAGAAATGGGTCACTGCTAGAACGCTGAGCTAATTCTACCGTCAGAGCAGCTGATGGCTAACTTGGCACAAGAGAGTTAAAAGTTACAGCCTTCCAGGAACAGCGAAGTTGCTGCAGAGAAAACAAACCAAAAACGTGTTGCAGAGAGGCCCAGGAACTGTTTGCTTATGATACCATCTTACCTGGTCACCTGACATTTACACATGATTAGTCATCGTTTGAGTTGGGCTTGATTCTCCTCTCATTTACGCCAGCTTCTCACAAGCATAACTTCACTGACAATGGCTCCTACTTTACTAGGGCATGGGAGGAGAATCAGGCTGTATCTTTTTGGGGTTTTTGGGTCCCCCTATGAAATGTGAACAGGTCTCATTCACACACAACTGACCACCGTTTTCCCCTTAATTTAGCTCCAGATCGTCATGCCATGGAGCACACACTGTACACAGGGTTTAGAAAAAAAGACTGTGCAGAGGATGTGGGTTTTGGGGCTTTTAGCCTCTGTGCCAATTCTGTGTTCCACATCCTCCCTTAAAAATAAGATTAGAAGTGTAGGCTAAACCTCTGTAAGAGTCCCCCTTTAATGCTCTTCATTAAAAAGCATATAGAACCAGGGGTGGGCAAAGTATGCCAGGGTTAGCTTCTGGCGGGCCCCCACACTCCTGAATTTACCTGCAGCTACATGGATTCACAGCTCCCATTGGCCACGGATCACCTTTTTCGGCCAATAGGAGTTGCAGTCACCCATACCTATGGAGGTGCCCATAAATATAGCATCAGCAGCCCAATAGGAGCTAACCCTGGTGAACCACCGCCATTTTATTGCCCACCCCGATACAGCTGCAAGTGACAAAACGGGCTGATAGTTAACTTGATAGAGGCTAAGCACCATCCATCTCTGTGCCTCTGATAGGTTGGCGTATGCCCAAGTGGCACAGTTTAACCTTCAGCCATCTTTGCTAGCATACATGAGCCAAAGCGGTGACTCTATGTGACATGTAAGACCTTGTGAGACTATCTAAATTGAACGGTCTCAGTGAAGTAGCTGTCTATTGAGAGAGGCAGGACGAGTGAGGTAATACCTTTTATTGGACCAGCAGTCATGGCTCCTTAAATCTCCCCGTCCCTTTGGGATAGGAGGAAAGGTCTAGTTATCCCATAACTGTCTACACCAAGCTTCTTTGCGCCTTCCTCTTCAGCAACGGGTATTTGCCACTGTCAAAGACATGATACTAGAGTTGATAGACTGCTGGTCAGCTCCAGTCTGGCAATTCCTTATTTATTCTCTATAGTGCAATTGAGCATTCAGACTTCAAGACTATAATTAAATATTTATTTTTAGAATGCCAGACAACATGGCATCGTAGCCCTATACGCTCTACTTTCCTCTCAATGGCTGAAGACTGAACTGATGATCAAACAAGCCACTTTCCTTAGGAAGCCCTTAGTGTAATCCTTACACATCATTAGCTACTGGATTCTGGTGCCAGAGACCCCTCCACATTAGGCTTGGTTCTCCTCTCACTTATGCCAGTGTCACATCAGTGTAAATCCAACGACTTTGTGGAGTTGCTCCTGACTTACACTGGAGTAAGCGAGTGGCGAATCAGGCCTGTTATCTTCAAATGATGGCATGACTGGTCTTGAAGAAAGGTGCATAGAATGACACGTCTGTGCATTTTGAATTCTTTTCAGAGTTTTATTGTTGCTGTCTCCAGTCCTTTCAAATAGACTATGCACCTGATTTTCTCCAAAACCAAGGATATTTATGGAACTGGAGTACCTTTTAATCTCCCTTGTGCCCTGTTTTGTAGTCAATACACATAATTCATTTTTATCCTACAGCTTTTTTAAAGCATCCTGTTTTTCCTCGGTTCACAGAAGGGGAAGGAACTGAACATATCAGGTGTCAGAGGAACTAACTAAGGGGGACCTTGGCCCAGAGCATGCGTGATTCTGTAGGCGTCCTAAAGAGTTTTGTCTGAGTAAAATCTGCAGGAAGAGGATCCAGTAACTAGGAATCCTCTGTATGTGAATGAATATGCAATTGTGGGGGGAGAGGGGAAGGAAGACAAGATACATTTATTAATGAGCTAGAAATTGTTAACATCGTCTAATGACTGTCTTTTCCCTTCTCATTTCTCCATAGTCTAATGGCATAGCTGCCCTTATTGCCATTCTTGTGCTGCTGCTTTTGGTGGCTATTGGTCTTTTATGGTGGTTCTGGCCTCTATGTTGCAAAGTGGTAAGTAAAAATCTTCAATGACTAATTCGGTTATGACCTACAACTGTAACCAAACCAAGTTTATTTTTCATCTATGTGGCTTGAAATCAGTGGTGTGCAGATTGAACCCCTTGAGTCTGGCGCCCTCATAACTTGACCCGTGCCGAACTAGAGAAGTTTCCGAACTAGGGGAAGTCAACACAGAGTGCCAGTGGGTCTCCACAGGTGCAGGAAGTCAGGCTGCAGTGGGTGTTGCAGCACCTCCAGGCTTTGTGCTCAGCATGCCTGGGGTCCCCACCACCAGCCACCCTGCCCCAGATCCCAGCTACTGGCCTCCCCCCAGACATGGCAGGAGTTTGAGATTAGTAGATTTGACTATCCATTCAACTACAGCCCTGAGAACATGATGAGGTGGCAATTTCTTCCCACCTGGCACTGTATTCTGTCTACCCAGATTTGTCACACGGGAGCTCTCCTGGAGATAGGGACAGTGAAATAGAATCCTAGAACACTAGAACAAGAGGTCATTGAGTCCAGTCCCCTAACCTCATGGCAGGACCCAGCACCATCTAGACCATCCTTGATAGATGTCTATCTAATCTGCTCTTAAATATCTCCAGCGATGGAGATTCCACAACCTCCCTAGGCAACTTATTCCAGTGTTTCACCATCATGACAGTTAAGAAGTTTTTCCTAATGTCCAGCCTAAATCTCCCTTGCTGCAGTTTAAGCCCAATGCTTTTTCTCCTATTCTCAGGAGCTAAGGAGAACAATTTCTCTTCCTCCTCCTTGTGACACCCTTTTAGATACCTAAAAACCACTATCATGTCCCCTCTCAGTCTTCTCTTTCCAAACTAAACAAACCCAATTCTTTCAGTCTTCCTTCGTAGGTCATGTTTTCTAGACCTTTAATCATTCTCGTTGCTCTTCTCTGGACCTTCTCCAATTTCTCCACATCTTTCTTGAAATGCGGTGCCAAGAAGTGGACACAATACTCCAAGTGAGGCCTACTCAGCGCAGAGTAGAGCGGAAGAATGACTTCTCGTGTCTTGCTCACAACATACCTGTTGCTGGGGAGGCACTGTGTCATAGGATGGTTCAGGGTGGTTGCTCCAGGCTCCACGCTTTGGGGCTTCCTGCACTTTGCAGGCCCTGCGGCGGCTGCATCAGCTGTCCTATGGATGGGTCCCAGGGTGGCCTGGGAGATACCAGGGTTGGAAACTTGACCGGGGTGGCCGAAGTGGTCCCCCCTCCTGCCCCTGCATGGCAATGGCAGAATCTGGAGAGGCCTGGCAGCCTGCTCTGCTCCGTCCCACCCGCTTCTCCATGGCAGCAGGAAGCAGAGTGCCCTGGTGGATAAGCAGGGCGCAGTGGCCTGGGAGAGAACGGCGGAGTGGAACAGACTAGGCTGCCGGGCCGCTTCAGCTCCTACCGCCATGATGATTGTGGGAGGGGCGGTGACCCCCTGCTGCTGCCCACACCAGGCTGCCATCGCTCCCTGGCTCGCATTGCTCGGGGAGGTGTCAGAGCAGGGCCAAGTGTGGAGCAGAGCTTGTGGCAGGGAGTTTGCCCTGCACCCTGGGAGTGAGGGGTTTCCCAGACCCTGCTCCCTCTAGGGACATCCCTGCTCCCCCCCAGGGAAGGCAGTGGGTGACACCTTGCCCTCCATATGCAGTGTGGGTCCCTGGACCCATGCACAGGGCAGAGGTGGTGTGGCCCTCCCCTCTCAATTCTTTGAGCATAGAGCAGGCAGCACTTAACCATCTTGAGCCCTTGTGCATAGGGCGGGCAGTGTGCAGCTCTCCCACTCCCCAAGCACAGAGCAGGTAGCCCCAGCACTTCCAGTCCTCCTGTTCTGGGCAGTGCCAGCCCTCCCGAAGTCCCAGCCTCCTTAGCCTAAGCCCCAGCATGCTTCCCTGAAGGGAAGCAGGCTGCTTGGACTGGAGCCAAGGGGGAAGGGCAAACAGGAGGGGGCTTTGGGGTGGAGCATGGGCAGAGCCAAGCCGGGCTATTTGGGCAGAGCCTATAGGACATGCTGCCAATTATTAGCATTATATAACCATTAGTAGGAGTCAGTTCTCGAAATGTTAGTTGATCTGCAGTCTATGTAAGTACCAGGTTTTTAAGGGAGTTCACTGTTGACAGTTCTTTCACTCTTCCTCGAATATCAGAACATATGATTGTATCATACTGGCTTCAGGCTCTAGTGCTGACATTTCTTAATGCCCACATCACGGGAAGATTTGAAAAGTGTTAATGAGTGGATCAAAAGGACTGTTGCCTGAAGCAACTAAGTTGTTTTTTTTTTTTTAAAGAAATCGGCTTTCCTCCAAACTCAAGTCTTCCTTCTTTGTATCTTTTTTTTAAAGAAATCGGCTCTCCTCCAAACTCAAGTCTTCCTTCTTTGTAACTAAGTAAATGAGATGCAGTCCTCCCTGATGATAAAAGCAAACCAAACAAAATTGGAGAAAAATCAAATTGTACATATGGTTAATAAGTCAGAGAAGCATTCTTTAGAACCCTCAGTATTGAATTTTACTAATGTGAATGAAGAAAAAAAATACAGTCAACCTTGCAATATTATATCTTTTAATATTTGCAAATTCTCATACTGTATATGAATATTTTACTACAAAAATTGCCTAAATTCCCTAGACTGCTTTTTAAAATTGCATTTAATAATGGCTTCCTAGTGAACTTTGCTTTGCAAATCAAACTGGAATAAGATGTGTTTGTGGACCATGTCGAAACATAAGGAAGAGAGCATTTTCCTACCACTTCTGTCAACAGGGCCAAATATCTGCTACTCAAAGCAAATTATTTTCTCGTACCATTGTCAGCTGATGGAGGGGTAAATTTTAAAACAAGTTTCATCTTCAGAAGCTGCTAAGAGCTGCAGATAATTAATACATTAGATAACTTTAATTTTAGCTTGTCCTACAACTCCAGTGAGTGTAACAGCACCATTTTTAGAGCTTGAGCCCAAAGCCCAATGAAGATGAGTCTTTTCTTTGATTTCAGTGGTGCTTAGATCAGGCCCTTAATGGGTTTTTTAGTATATTTTTTTACTTCAAATCTTCGTCCCGTTGAAATTAATAGGCATTTGGCCCCAATGAACGGGAGAGCTATGTCACAAAACTAATATCTGTTTTGTCACATTTAGTTGTCTCTGCTTTGGAAAGTCTTCTGGGTGTAAGAAAGGATTGACAGAGTTGTTATAATTATTGATAAATATTTATATAATGCTATAACTTTTATGGCATTTTGCTAACATGAGAAAGGCCTCAGCTCTGAATAGCTCAGTGTACATCAGACAGAGAAATTTAAGATAATAGGTAAAGAAAATGGAAGGGGAAAGAAGGACAAGAGTTGAAACAGATAAGATAATGTGAGTTTTATAATATTGAGAGTCTTACAAGTGTTAATCTTTGGATAGGTTTCAATCTTTCCCCGTGCCTATGTACATCTTCAGGTGCCTAAATACTTTTGCAACTCTGGTCCATAACCCCTCTGCTTCAAGTTTCCCATCTGTAAAGCGGGCATAATAGTTTTGGCTCTATCTCACAGGGATGTCATGGTCATTAAGTAGATAATGTTTGTAAAGTGCTCTCAGAACTGGTACTGAAGTGCATTATAGAAATGTTATTTCTTCACCCTTAAGTTAAAAAGTATAGAAGGAAAAATAATTTTCGGACACATTTTGCAAGCACCAGACAAATGTCCTTCAGTTAAAAGTCCGTAATTTATTCTCCTACCTGTCGACGGTCCCAAGAACTAATGAACCAATGTAATCTTATCATTCAGAAGTATTTGGTAATATGTTTCCAGTTATACCATGCATTCACTTTTAACTCAATCATTTTAATATCATTCACATATGTGATGCCCACATTAATTTTGGAAGAAAGCTATTTTGGCAGCATTATTTGAGATGTGAAGGGTGGCATACAAGTTACTTTTTTCAAGACTGAATAAAAATTTCTTCTACCTATGATGCCACGAGTCCACTCATTTACTTGCTATTCAGAGGCACTGGTGAAGATAATTAACTTACTGGAATTAATAGCAGGAATAAAGATAAAATAACACAACTAGTATTTCAATACCAATGTAATTTTAGAGGCTGTTATATGTATTTTTGGAGTCATTTTATATGTTTTAATCACCTCTCTATTGAATCAATGCAAGTCTAATTATAGGTGGAATATTTGTTTTTTTCATTTCTATACCGAGGCATAGAATATCATGATTTTTAAAAATAGTCTTTTTGTTTTTACTTTTAGCTTGGCAACAGTGCGAGCCCAACTGTAGTTTGCTGGGTCCAGCTTGTTTCTGTTTTGCATAAAACTGTGGCTTTAATTTTTGCTATCATGTAATAAATAGATTGGTGCATTTTTACTGTGTAATGGCTTGTTGGGGATTTTGATGTGAGTAGCAAGAGAACTCTCAGAAGTTCACTTGATGTATGTGCATAAAAGGGCAGAAAGAAAGTGAAAGGAGTTTGTGGCTTAAGTTTTATTTTTTATGCTGTATTGCTTATTAAATTAAAGACTAAGACTAAGCTCAAATAAGATTAGAAGCACTGCATATAAAGTGAATGAAGGGTTTTTATTACTAACAGGAAAACTCCCTGGCATGTGTTCTTTCTGTTTTTTCACGTGGTTGATAAACTGTTAAATTTATATGCCAGAAACCCTGTGAATGGCTGCAAATTAGAAACAACGTCCTTAACACGAGGGATCATTTTCCAGTAGCCATTTAAGAACCCTTATGAATGTAGCTACACCACATTGTAGGCATTCCACATTGAGCACCATGAAGGAGATCTATTTTCAAATGATGGATCTGAAATGTGAAAGCTTCAGAAATAATTTGGATGGGTAGTTTAAAGTCCTAGAGGTGACGGTAAGTTTCTGGAAGGCATTTCACAGCTTGTCACAGGGCCAGAAATTCCCCAAAAGTATGGCCCGAGAAAGGTCTTTGGGCTGCCTTTTGCTGATACCGACTAATTAACGTCATAGGATTTCATCACTGGCTCATTCAACTTCATTCACTTAGTAAGCAAATGGGCAGACACATCTGTCCCAAAGAGTGCCTGTCAACAAGTTGATTTTATTTTTTACAGAGGTATGGTGTTAATTTACACACATTTGGTAATCATTAGGCCAGGGAGTTGCACAGGCAGTCAGGAGTTTGTTAAGAAACTTCGGTGACTCATAGTGAAATGATTAAAGAGTTATGATATTCTGTCAGGGTTTGAAGGTCACTCGAGGCTCTGCCTGTTGTCATTCATGCTTGTCTTTGTATTGTTTTTAGGTCATCAAGGATCCTCCTCCCCCACCGCCAGCTCCAAAAGAGGTACAGTGTGAGGGTACTTGTTGACTCTTACAATGAAACATCATCTTAGCATGCCATTGGTTACATTAATTATAGTCCACCATCCCATTAACTATTGCTGTATCTTACAGCTCTTGCCCCTCTCCCCTAGCTGCCAGAGAGAAAAGATGCTTAGGGCATTTTCCTGGGGCTCGAGAAACCAAGGTTTATGTCCCAGACCTGACAGAGTCTTGTTTTGTGACCTTGAGGAAACTGCTTTTGTGCCTCAGTTTTCCATCTATAAAATGGAGCTTAAAGCACTTCCCTACCTTGTTAGAGGGATTTGGGGGTAAGTACATTGCAAAGAGTTGAGGTCCTCCAATGATATGTTGGTGGGGACCATATAAGCACCACAGATAACTAGCGACTCTGACCACAAATACTTTTTAACCAGCGTTGTATCCTTATTGGGCTGCCTCTGTCCCACCCTTGAAAAAATTAAAATAACCAAAGCTACTATATTTTTGATGCTGACGATAATGATATTTGATGCTTATCCATTTGAGATGCTCAGTTTTATTTATTTAAAAGAACCGTAAAACCCACCATAACAAGAAATTCTTGGCTCCCTAATAATGAACAGTCTTAAGATAACCTTTCATGATATACATTGAATTGACTCAGTCAGACATTAAACTAAAGCAACAATAAAACCCTTTTATCATTCCCCTGCCTCACCTGTTCTCTTTCCAGTCCATATTCTAAACTTTCTCCCCAAATTTTTGTCTGTTGCAGGTGTGTTCCTGCATAGGTCCTGAACCTTTTAAAAAAAACAAGAGATCAAAGATACTGTTATTTTTGGTGCTAGTAATCATGATACCTGATGCTTATCCATATGTTCAGAGTTCTATGCAAATAACTTACTACAGATATTACTCCTCCCTAAAATGAGAAATTCAAGAAATTCAGTGCTAAGATGACACTTTCACAAAATTACAGTCATACACAAATGGCAATTAAAGGCTCTGATCCTGAAAAGACTTAAGCATGGGATAAACTTTTGGTAGTGTCAGCCAGCAGGCCTGATTCTCATTTATACAGAAGTCCCTTTATATGACTCTAGCATAGTAAAGGGACCTTAAACTAAGTAAAACGGCAGTTAACAGAAGGTAAAATCCAAGCGAAGACAAGGCAATTTGTCGTTACTAAATGAGTTAGAAGGTTAAGTTGAAGTCTGTTTCCTTTTGAAAAACTTAGCTTTAAATGTTTAGGGTTTTCCCACCACTTTCTCTCGCTTCTTTTGTTGTTTTTCTCCCATCTTCTTCCAATGGAAAAAAATGTTAATAGAAATAGAATAAAATGAAGAATATGTGCACCCAAATGCACGGCTTGGTTGTACATCTGGATAGAAATGAATTACAATGTGATTCCTTCTGTCCTTTGTTAAAAACTGCAGATGTTAAAAATTGAAAGCTGTAGACTTTATTATAGTTGTATACCCCAGCAGAAAACAGTGCCAAATAACTGTTAGGGCCAGATGTTTTTGAAAATATTGGACAGCTAGCACAGGATTTAAGCCATCACATTTGCCATGACTCCTCTTAGTTTTGATTTAGAGAGATTCAGCTGAACAAACAAAGAGAATGATAAGCATTACTTCCAAAATTGTCGGAGAACACTGTTGTCTTGGGGGCAGACTCAAGATTGTAATTTGGGAATGACTGTCACTCGTGAAAGTGAAGCCTTATTTATGAAACTCCTGGGGCTGAAACTTTTTTCTCTTAATCTGTAAGTCTGATTGTCACAAAAGTCACTTATGCCACTGACTGATGCTTGCAACTTTGACTTGCCTTAACAAAATGTTTTGGCGTTAGAAGTTCCTTGTTTTGAAATCGTCCAAGCATGGGATTGAGGAGGGATGAAAGTGTGGGATGGTGTGAGATTAGGGTGGGGACACTCTGCCCCTTTCAGTTGGATAGCTGAGATGTGCAGAAGAGCCTGTCGTTTGTGCACTGAACATCTGCAAGAGACGGGTGCTTCTCCAGGGTGTTCCTTTGTGAGGATCTCATGAAATCTATGGAAAAGGGGAGAGCAAAGTGAGTTCTGGAGGACTGGGGGACTAGTCTATTCCTGTGGGTATCATAAGCATCATAGGAGCATAATCCATTCCTGGGAATAGAAAGGGTATAAAGAAACAGGTCTGCCTGACACCTTGGGGAATAGCCAACAATTCCCCTGCTGGAGGAATGGGCTGATATCTGGGTTGGAGGGGTGGACAGAAGAGCCAGGAGGGCTGCCCCTGAAACAGACAACATGAATCCAGCAATTTTAATCCTCTGCTGTCTGTTCACAAGCTGTGATTGGCCAAACAAGCACACAACAAGACCCTTCTCTCTGTGGAGCCTGCCACTGTTCCCAGTGTGGCTTAGCATACAAGCAGCTTTGGAGAAACTTTGTAAGGTGACTGCAACTTTCTGTGCAGACCACGTCACTCAGTACTGGGGAAGTAGGTGTTCCGGGAGTGTCACTAGGTGGTTTGCACACAGGCCTTGATTCAAACAAGCATTTAAGTGTCAGTTCAAGCATGTGCTTAAGTCAAGCATGTGCAGCCACAGCCTAAGATCACGTGGGCCCAAACTTCACATGAGAGACCAGCAGAATGTCTGCTGCCCAACCTTTGCCCACCGCTATGAGTTGCAGATGTGTTGCAAAAAGTCTACTGCTAGCTTTTGATGATTCTGCCTGTCTGACCTCTGGCTGTTGGGCGGAGTTTTGTACAGAGAGCAAAGCCATTTTACTGGTGCAGGCCACTGCAGTTTAGACTCTCGCTCCTTAAGTAAAATAAATTTTTAAAAGAGGGAAACAATGTGAATGATTTTTCTCTTTGACTGTTTTGTTTGTTCCTGTTACTGTGAAGGAAGATAATGGGTGAATGAGCTCTGATTAGTGGAAAGTCCAGTTTATTAAATGGCTTGAGAAATCTTGTTAGAATTTGGGACACTTCTGATGTGCCAGCAATGTTCTCCCATGTGCAAACATTTTTTTCCAAATGTGACTAGATAGCATGGGAAATAATAAAAACTGCAAGATACGTGAGTGCCTTTAAAATCTGCTGCTGTCGCACTAGAACTATGTTTAAGTCTAGAAAACTCTGTTTGTGAACAGTTATAAAGGCATGTGCTAGAAAAGAACTTAGTGCAAGCAAATTCTTCCTTGTAAAAATATTTTTCGATTTATGGACAGGAAGAAGAAGAAGAAGATCCCTTGCCTAATAAAAAATGGCCGACAGTGGATGCTTCCTACTACGGAGGACGAGGAGTAGGAGGCATTAAAAGAATGGAGGTTTGTACTCAGGGAAAGAAAGAGAAACATCAGTGCATGAAAGTACAAGTTTTCTGAGGCTCAAGTTGATGGCAACAAAGTGTGCAGGAAATGTAGTTGTATCATGTTTGTTTCCCACTGACATCAGCCTCCTAAATATTTTCCCCTCTAAAAGAATCCTAAGCATAGCTCAGTGGATTATGAAAGAACTGATTGCATTAGTTCCATTTGATCTGAACTCTAAATAGATGCTGAAAGGCATGCTGATTCCATCAAGCTAATGAGGAGGAGAGTGAGAGCCTTTTTGAGTGTTTTGGAAGAAACTGCAGTGTAACATAAGTATTCCAACTGTGGGCCAGCCAAGCGCACTGACAATAGTGACATTAAGGAGAGGCTTGATCCGCAAGGAACGCACAGCTACAACAGTGCCTGTCTTTGAAGAGACATGATAGCACCATGTTAATTAAAACAGAATGAAAAATGTGCATCCTTATGGGGATGTCCTTATGTCACATTTTATAGTTAAGTCAGCCTGTATGGAATTTGCAAGGCAATTTTCTTGTGCATTGTAACTTGATTTTTTAAAAACTGTCAATATCTAGCTAATCTCTGCCCAGAACCTATCTTCATCTATGGAGGAAACCACAACTAACTGGGCCCAGTCCTTCTTGAGTGCTCCTGGAATCTGCTTCTGTGAAGTGACCGCAGAATTAGGACCTTTGACAGTTGTAAAAGATTAGTTTAGAGAAATGTAGACGGAAAAAATGTTTTATGCACCACCTTTTAAATCCACTCTCTCGCTTGGGGGGGTTTACAAAGCAATGAATTGGACTCCACGGTACAGGCCTGGTTTCCCAACTGGCATCATGGGGACTCAAAGACTGTAGAGTTTAAATGATAATGTTTTGAAAATGGGTCATTTTTTTAT